CTTTACACTTGATGTAGAGCAACCATCAAGAACATGATGTAGGAATGAACAAGAACATTATTAGAGAGTAACAATGCTTCTTTGGCCTGTGAGCCAAAACGTGAACCTTAATTTTAGGAAGTCAAGATCCATCACTGATCTCACTGGGATTTTTATTTGGGGGAGCAGTATTGTTGTTATTTTTGAAAACTATCAAGTTCTAGGAATTCCACCCAAGAGTAGTTGCTTGCAGTTCCCACTAAGAAGAGCAATTGTAGGTGTGGTTTTGATTGAAGAGTGGCCATGTGGCTTGGCCAAATTTCTTTTTGGCTAAAGGGAGCATCTTTGATAAGGGCCTACCTAATAGGGAGGGAATAAGGGAAAGCCAGCAGGTGATGCCGATCTGCCAATGCTGGGGCCTAGGATGCAGGCATTTCAGTGAGTTGAGTAAGGGGTTTCAAGGAGGCAACACATAGCCTACCTTTAGGGGAAGGACTTAGAACCATGGTTGAAGCCACAGAAACAGTTCTAGGTGCACGTTGATTTCCACTGATAGAAAAGATTTAGACTTCCAGAAATGGGTTTGTGATGGTCATGTAACACAGAGGGAAAGAATATGTAGCAATTGGGAACTTGAGTGTTTTTGTGGGGGTTGTGTTATAAATTCCTCATGGTAGATGAGATAGATCATTTCAAAGTGACTTGAGGTGGGAAAGAGTTCAAATTACTATCTCACTCATTCTTAAAGTGTGAGCAGGAGAGGGTGATGTCCATTGTTCTTCTAAAGACAGTTGCAAAGAACTAGTGCTTTGCAGAAACACTTGGAGGAGGGAAGGTAGACCATAAGAATTAGGACTTGTAGCCTGTCTAGAACGTTCTCCCTTTACCTGACGACTCGCTGCTTTCCAGCAATTCTTGGCAGCCTCTGAACATTTACCCCTAAAAGGCATGCTTTACAAGGTAGAATGTGGTGTTATGGACCTTTTTAGTTCTTTGCCTGATGATCTTCCTTAAATGGTATTAAATCACCGTGGATGGACTATTTGTTGACACTGCTCTAGTTAAGACTTTGATTTTCCTCCAAGGTGGGGTGTATTTGGGTGCCCCTTGGGGATGTTAAAGAGGGGGAACTGTAATGTTGCTGCTATGTCCTCTCTGGGACAACTGTCTGCAACTGAGGAGAGCGTTTGACTCTAGAGCTGTTAGCCATACGGCTTCTCTGGGAAGCTCATCAAGACTTGCTAGATGAAATGATCCCTTCACAAATCCCATCTTGTTATTGCTCGCTTGGTCCCTGACTGGGTCTGAGCAAAGAGAGGGAAGCTCAGGGCCTGTGTAACAGTGTGATCGTGGCTGCTTGATGGCTGTCCCTGCCCCCCAAACACATCAGCAGTCACTGCACAGACAGAAAGAGACAGAGTATAGTTTCATTTTGACCTGCCACTGTTGGCTAGAGCCCCAGAAACCACAGACAAAAGATCACACTCTGGTTAATACGTATCTGTGAATACAGATACAGAGGTGAAGGGTGTTCTTTCCAGGGTACCAATGAATTGAATTCTGAGTCAAATCTCATGGTTTATGGGGGGCAACAGCATAGATAAATTTCTTTTAACTCATTTCTTCTATTTTGCAGTCAGAAATACTTGCCTTTTCCCAAAATGTATTATCAGATTTCCTGCCCCCCAACACACACACACACACACACACACACACACACACACACACACACACACACACACACAAACCAAAAACCTTCACATAGATTTGCAAAAGACTAGATGTCTATCAGTCCTACTTCAGGCTATGCCTCTGTTGGGAAGGGTTATGGTGGGGGCCTACTCATATTCTCAGTGGAGAACTTGCTTAGAAACATTCTTAATCTAATAATGACGACTTGGGTTTGACTGAAAAGTATTTTCTCCCGAGAAATGAATAAAATGACACTACAGGATCTTCAAATTTTAGTTTAAAGAATACAATGGATTAGATTCATGGCAAGCTCCACAGCCCTGCGAACCCCTGGGAAAACAGCTAGATCTCTTAGGTTGGAATGTTACCACAGAAAGAGACCGAAGCTAAAGGGTTACTAGGTGGTCATGAATACTGAAAGAGTAAACATGCTTCATCCACAGGTAACATGGGTGTGCTCCTAAGGCAGCCTCCAGACACTTGAGCAATTGGATGAAACTCCACATAGCAGGGTTACTTAGTGGGAGAAAACATGACCAGGTGTGGGAATTTTAGGGGGTATAGGAATTTAAGAGGCATGGCCTCAAGCTAGAGATGACTCAAAAACCCAAGGGAACAGGTGGACCCACTTGAGCGAGGAGTCTCTCTCATGCTACTCTGTTTGATAAAGTTCCAGAACAGCAAGAGTTGGGTGACAGTTACAGGCTTTCAGACCACGTTTAGCACACCTTGGTCAGCTTCAGATCCCTAAATCCTCATCTGGCACCCTGTCCTACACATGATATTCTCCTGACTCTTTGCCCTTGAAGCAGAGAGTTTAGACCCCGGTTCAGAGTGGCTGAATCATTCTTTAACCAAATTCCCAGATACATCTACCCACTGAAGTTCAGGGCACATGGGCCTGGGTGACAGGAGTGTCCAGTTCAAAGTCATAAAAGACTGATAGAAACTGGTTTTCTGTTAAAGGCCAAGGGGAAAACCAAACAGATACTGAGTAAAGAACCAGAAAGAGACAGCTTATAACTGAGGAGAGGCAGAAAAGTTAATTATGTCTCAAGGTTGGAGATCATCTGCACCCCACGGCTGCTACAGAGTTCAGCTGCAGTGGAGGGAGACGGGATTTGTTTGTTTGTTTGTGTTTTAAAGCACTGGAGGGACTCTGGGAAATGTTTCCCCTGGAAGGTCATGGAATGTTTGTGTTTACTTGTGGTTGGCCTATCCTGCTTATGCTGTGTGGATCCCTGCCAGGGAAGGTTTCTGTTTGCTTTTATGTGACCAAAAAGGAGAAAGAAAAGGGGGGGGGTATTTAAAATGACTGGATCATGCAAAAAACGATTTAAAGTTGCCCACTTAGCACACCAGTTCAGTTAGCAGTTTATCTATACAACGCTAAAATGTTAAAATGGTCTTTTGAGAAGCCTGGTTGGAGGAGATTATCTAGACTGGCGTAAAAATGAAGCCGGAAGTTCTGATAGCCGGAATGTGCTGTGAGGCAAACTGGGAAAGGGTTAATGGCAGGTCTGAAGCCAGTCATTCCTTGGAGTGTTTAACTGATACCATGGACTTTGCCTTATCTGAAAAGAGACAGATGGATCACCGGGGATGAGCTCCTCTGACTCAGAAACCAAACATAGGCATGGGATGCTTTGGCCATTAAAAGTAAAATCATTATCTTGGCAAAATGAATGAACTTTCACAATACCAGAGGGTGTTTACTGTAGCCTTCCTTCCCCACATTCCATCACTGAGTTGCAAATTTCACACCCTCTCCCCATGTGGGAAGAAGTTCCAGCGTGTTCAGCTGTCTCCTTAGCCGTCCTGTAGAACTAAATTCAGTTTCCGGGTCATCAGCATTCGCACTCTCTCGCCCCTTCAATTAGCCAGTGCTACGTTCAAAACACAAGTTCTACTAGAAGCAGAGTGGAACAAAAGCCTTAAGTATAGCACGCTGTATGAATGACAGGGCCTCTTTTCTTCCGTGAATCGTACAAAGCCACCTAAGAAAACCACCTTCCTGCTACTTAACATGGCCATCTATTTTCTACACTTGGAATTTTCTTTACAGTTCTGGATTTTCTTAATGGATGCTCTAGCAGAGAAATGTAACAAGAATCCATTTGGGCCAGTATCCAATGGCTACAGATCACTTCATCAGTCTCTTGGGCAGCATAACTCAGGCATTTCTACCTCTGGTGGTTCTGTTTTCCATATCCAAACTACTTGAACTTACTGGATAGCATGGCGATCTGTCATGTCACTCGAGGCTAGCATGGTCAGGATGGTTAGAAGGAGGCGGGGCTTTCTGCATGGCACTGTATGCTGTATGTCACTGTGCAGAAGCCTCAGTTTACTTACCTACAAACACCCTGGCGCCTGCTCCCCTGTGTGTGTGCCTCAGAAATGCAATGCAGAGTATTTGGCCAAAGTTTTCTTTTGAAAACTGTATATCATCTTCAGCTTGTCAATTGTCTACTGCAATTTAGGTTGGGGGAGGGTGCATTTTCTTGAAAAAGTTAAAGCATTAATCAAAGCCAGCTGGAAATATTTCGTGATTGAAATGCAAGCAGAGAAGGGCTCATGGAAACCAAAGTCACACTGTAGGGGCAGGAAGCTGCAAAGACTAGGGAGCAAAGCTGTCTAAATGCTCAACAATGACACACACTAAGACAGTTTGATGAGAATGCTGTACTACTATCTACACGCCCTCAGATGTTTTCAATCCCATGTCTTTTTCTTTTTTTGAACTACTGATAAGTGCCCATGTGTGTGATGTATGAGTGTGTATGAATGTGTGTGTGTGTGTGTGTGTGTGCAAGGTACGGGTTGATGTTGGGTGTTGTCTATGGCTCTCTACATTAATTTTTGATACATGGTCTCTTGCAGAAGCTAGCGTTCACTGGTTGGCTAGCAAGGCTTCCAATGAGTCCCTGGGAACCCCTAGTGACCCCCCCCCTCTGTCTTTGCTTCCCAAAGCTGGAATTATAGACACTCCTCTACACCATGCCCGGCTTTTTATGTGGATGCTGGGCATCTAAACTCAAGCACTCTTGTTTGAATGGCCAGCACTTTACCCACTGGACCATGTCCCCAGCCTGATTAACCAATTACGAGACACTCTCCACTATCACACCATTCAATGACCAATGAGTCATAGACTGGAAACCACGCAGTAGGGGTTGCAATTCTAAATGAGATCCAGGCTGCGGCTCTGTGTGTGGCTTTAGGCCTCATTACTCTTAGCAGCGTTTACCTCTTCCTTTTTGAAGGCGGGCTGGCCATCCTGGGACTTTGGTCTTTGAGCTTGGCCTTTAGCTCCGCTTTCTTCTTTCTTTTCCTTTTTAAGAGTGGTGAAGGTCACTCAGGTAAACAGAAGCCCTTCCCAGCTCGCAAGAGTGAGAGGGTGCCTGGATCACTCTGTGAGGGCTGTGATGTCTCTGTGGGCGTCTTAGTGCCGTACTTAGACCCCTCAGTGCCAGCGGTACCCGGTGCCAGTGGTTCTACAAGCAGGTGTGATACGTCCCACCCATCCCTACTCTTTTTTTTTCCTCCTGTGCCTCCCATTGTGCTCACTGAGATCTAGCATGGCATCGCGTTCCAGGTGTGTTTACATTCTGCCCACGGTCTCCTCAGTTACCGCCAAGTGCGTGAGCCCTCGGTATGGAAGCAAGAGTGAAAAACAACCTCAGCGCAAGGCAGTGACAAAAGACTCACTCTGGGAAGGTGAGCGTGCAAGCGTTTCTGTCTTCTTCTAGAACTCTTAGGGGGTTGTTGTTGTTTTTTAATGCAGTCTTGCAGATAGAGAAGGAAAAGAAACTCACAAAACTTTTGTATTTTACACTTCCTTCCACAACTACTGTTCCCATCCTTCCTAGAGCCACACAAACTTGCGCTTACCCTCATGGCACAAAGGAGCAAACTCCATGTTCCTAATTGCCCATCAGCTGCTAGCTGGAACTACCCCAGCTGAATGGCTCCCTGCAAGTCTACATTAAACCCAGGCCTACATGATGGCAAGTCAGGCTTTTGAAGGTGTTTTGTGGTTTTTGTTGGGGAGGGGTTTCCAACAGTCTCCTTTCCCTCCTTTATTCCAGTGGATTTCAAAGAACTTATATTCTTGTTCTGCTACTATTAAACGTCTGAACTTAATTCTTTATTTCAACTCCCTACTCCTAATTTTATAATTTAAGAAAATTTACTGTCAAACACCAGAGTATAGGCCTCTTGCCTCATGTACACCCAGGAAAGACGTCAGAAAGAGGGGGTTCAGATGCAGATGCAGAAACAGGCTGACACAGTCCTACCACATTCATCATCCTTGGGTTAATTCATTTTTTATAGCCATAACACCCAAGCACAGAGCAATTAATTTCTCTCTGGTTGTCCCATTAATTTGGTTCATTGCTTACTTAGCTACGGTTCAATTGCTTCGTGCTTGGGTATTGCTATGGCCTGCAAAAACAAAACAAAAAAAATGAACAGCTTGCCAAGCGACCAAGCACGTGAGGCGATGCGTGTGAGGCCTCAGCCCTGTCTGGTGTGCACTGCATGTCTCAGGGGTCACAGGCATCACACGGTAGGTGCACAGTGCTTACTGTACCTGCTGCTTTGGGACAGCTGGCTGGAGTCTGTCTTCTTGTACTTTCCTTTCATTTGCTCCCTTCCTTTCTGTCTTCTCAGCTCCCTTCTCCCCCCTGTCCTTCGTTTCCTGCTTCCCAATCCTTTGCTCCTCTAGCTGCCGTTTTCGCCTTTGCTCTTCTACCCTGGCCTTCTCTTCCTCCTCGGCCTTGGCCCTCTGCCTCTCCTCGGCCGCTCTTCTCTGCTCCTCCTCAACCCTGGCCCGCTCCTCGGCCTCCCGCCTTTCCCTTTCTTCTGCGGCTGCCTTTCGTTCAGCTTCGATTCTCGCCTGCTCCTCAGCTAGCTTTCTGTCTTGCTCAGCCTTGATTCTCTCTCTCTCTTCAGCTTCCACCCTGAGCCTCTCAGCCTCGGCTCTCTCTCTCTCTTCAGCTTCCACCCTGAGCCTCTCAGCCTCGGCTCTCTCTCTCTCTTCAGCTTCCACCCTTTCTCGACGGGCTATCTGCTCTGTGTCTTGCTCCGTCTCCCCCTCGACTTTGGACTCCTCCGCACTCACTTGCCCATTTTCCAATACCGTTACCACAGCTTCCTCTTGGGTTTCTGGTGTTTTCTCTTCTACCATCTCCTCTACCTGATTTTCGCCAAGGCTCCCTCCCTTCAGCTCCTCCTCCTCCTTTTCTTCTTTCTTTTTGTCTTCAGCATCCTGATAGCTGTTCTTCTGATAGGACTTGATGACCACTTCCGTTTCCTCCACCTCATACCGTCCTGGGCGACTCTCTCTTTTTTCTTCCTTCTCTGCTGTTTCACTTTCTGCCGTGTCATTTTGCATCCCTCTGCTTGGGCCTGACAGACTGGCATCTGTTACAGTTGGGTCAAACTCCTTCTGACGTTCTAGAGCTTCCTGGAGACGTTTCTGACGTCTCTCTTCTCGCCTAGCCAGGCGCTCCAGTAAGGCAGCCTCCTCATCACCTTCTACCTGAGTGTTTGTAGTGGCTGGCTTAGACTCTTCATCAGGGACACTGGATGACAGGAGGAACAACACCAAAGACAGCTTGTTGGTTAATCAGTCATCTAGAGCCACCCGTAACCAGATCAGATGCCAGCAATATCTAGCTCACATGCTCCTAGATGTTACCACTCTATGCTGGCTTGTCTGGCTTCCACCCTAACCAAGTCTTTGCTCTTGGACTTTCTCAGGTCACTGTTTCTCCTCAACTTGCTGTAGGAGCTTTGAGTATTAATGTTACCCAACAAAAGCGGAGGAGCATCATCATAGAAACTCTTTGGCCTTTCTCTGTTTTGAAGGATAATTCTACAGTCAAGGCTTGTACTAGAGTTATGCTCCAGATAACCACAGTGGCCGCTGATGCTGGAAAACAACCTTTACTTGGTTGCCTTGCCTTCCCCCGCAAGTCCTGGATCCTTAGGGGTTGACAGAGTCATAGGGAGAAGAAAGACAAAGGATCCCTGGGGCTCACTGACCAGCCAGTCTAGCTGAATCGGTGAACTCCAGGTTCAGTGAAAAATTGCATCGTTAAAAAAAAGTGTCGATCCAGGAGTGGTGGTGCACACCTTTAATCCCAGAGTTTGGAAGACAGAGGCAGATGTATCTCTGTGAGCTTGAGGCCAGCCTGGTTTACATAGCAAGTTCCAGGACAGCCAGGGATACACAGTGAGACCCTGTCTCAAACAAAAAAATAATAGAAAAATAAAATAAAAATAAGGTGGAGAGCACCTTATTTAATACATAAGAACATCCACAGTACACTGTATTAAAATACTGAAATTGTCACAGCAACAACTTTACCACATCTAATAGAGCTGATCTAGCTTCTCTGTGTAGGTTTCCAAGAATAAAGAACTTTTTCTCCCTCTCTCCAATTGGTGAAGACTAGCTAAATCCAGTGTTTATTTTAAAAAGAAAAGAAATGTAAAATCCAAACTGTAGCATGTCCATCATCTCCTCACTCTTCCAGGGCGCTGGACACTGCCCAGACCAAAGGCGTTGGCCATTCCTGGCTGGAATTACCAGTCATGTGATACCAGAACTCTGACCAGAGCTGGAAGCATATGTCTTGCAAAGTTTAGAAACTCCATCAAATTTCATGGTTCATACTAAACTTGGCTCTTCTGATGTTCAAGTTCACTTGATTTTGGAAAAATACATTTCATATTTAACAACAAAATACGGCCAAGGAAATCCTAGATTTTAAGCCTTCTTGGCCTCTGCTGTTGCTGCAGGACACTGTCTCTGTGAATTAGCCACACATGGATTACATGTTCACAGAAATACAAAGAACTGGGAGTTTAAGGGAAAGGTCTAAGCATAGGACACTTGGGTCAACTGAGTTGTGATGTTTTAAAAAGGTACCAAGATTCCAAAGTGCTACCCTGAGAAAAATACTGTTAAGAAATCAACAGACTCTCGAAAGCCTTTCTTTGCTTTTCTTATAGATCGTGGTAACAGTTATCAGGAGATGTTAAGTGCCAGTTAGAGCTGTTTAGCCCCCAAGAAGGCGTTTTATACTTGTAGGTAATTAATATGTCTGCAAGAAATCACATGCTCAGACCTGAACATATTTTACTTAAAATCCCTTTTTTAAAAATTCTTTTGATGTAGGATCTCATGTACCCCAGGCTAGCCTTGCACTCACTAAAAAGCCAAGGTTCACCATGAACTCCTTCCTGTTTCTACCTTTTGAATGCTAGGATTATAAACATGCACCATCATGCTTGGCAAAGGAATTTGTAAATTTAGATAATCTCATAAAATAGTTAATAAAATTAAGGCAGAAATGAAATATAAGTAGAAACAAGACCTATGTATGTGCTTTTGAGTCTGTTGTTGCGTCAAAGCTCAAACCCAGGGCCTTATGTGCTGGACCTACACAGCACTGTTATCTCAGTCCAGAAGCAAACTTTCAGAAGCAGAACATACCAATCAGTTGTAACTTATAAAATGATTGTTGAACATTCACTAATAACCAGATGCAAGAGAGGACTCAACATGTCATTTTAAAAACTATTTGTGCCCCCTCTCTTCAACTTGGAAATGGAAAAGGCAACGAATGGCCATTTTGTCCCCCTTCTGTTGAGACACTCTGCCAAGAGCACACTGTATCATGAGCTTACTCTGGGCAAGGCATTGAGTGTTTTCCATGCACTCTCATCTCTCTGAAGCTGAGCAGTATTCTTCAAAGGCAGCTATGGTTGTACTTATTAAAGTGAAGGAACACAGATTGCTAAATTGGGAAACCCAGACATCATACCTGCCCCTTCACTCCTCTTGACAACACTTCCTCCTCAGTTAGGAACTAATTACCAAAGACCAAGGTTTCTATCTTCTATCTAAGCATTAAATTTCTTATTAAAATTGCCTTGAGCATCAGAAAGACTACCCTGGGAAATGAACCAAAGAGGCCATGACACTTCTCTTGAAGATTTTTTAAAAATAGACCAAGTTAATGAAGCTATTAACAACTTCCTCCAGACATATACTACATAAAAGAAACAAAGCGAAACCACATATAGCCTGGGTTACACAATGAGTTCCAGCTTGGGATACCCAGTCAGAACCCATCTCAACACAACCAAAACCAACCAACCAAACAGTAATGGCTGAGTTGGTCTGAGAAGGGAATGACTTGCTAGCAAATTCCTCTCAACAGGGCAGGCTAAGACACACCCAGAGATGCCCCACTGAGAAGAGGACAGTACCTGTTCTGGGCATGGGTCTCCACTTGGTCTGTCACCTGTCCCAAGGATTCCTCCTCCTGCTTCTGCCGCAGCCTTTCCTGCCGGGCTCGGCGGCGCCGTTCCCTGGCAGCCTCTTCCTCGTCATCATCGTTCCTCTGATAGGCGATTCTGCAACATCATAAACACAGGCTCCTGAGCACACTAGCTGACAAGCGTTGTCATCAATGGTCTGGCCACACAGCCTTGAATGGCTACTGATGAGCCAGATTCTAAGAGGATGGCTCGCTTCCTCAAGTTTGGAGTCCCAACCAATTTGTTTTCAAACTTTTCAGTATTTGAAAAGCACTCATCCACTGACTCAGGGAATAATCTGCATGATCGAATAAAGCAGAGCATCTACACCAAAGCAGCTGCCTTTGGAGACTGTGGGTTAGCATACTTGGACTTCTGCACTGAGCCGGCGGATTAGCACACACAAGATTTAGACATGGAAATAGCAAGCGCTGAGCCCAAATGATCAAAAGACGTGTCAGAAAGGACTCAGGACATTGTGTGAACTAGATCCAGCACTGTCACAAAGATTAGAAAAGAACCCAGTTACCATTACCATTAAACCGAGACTCTGGTGCTAATAAGCCAAAGTGGGTCACTAAAACTAAGGACACTGATTATCTTCTTTGGTCAGATTTTGTTTTACCAAGGTGTGTGTGTGTATCATTGACCATTGGCAGGTGGCTTCACAGGATGTGCACTGTGAGAGTGTGTCAGCCACCTCAAAGGACCCATCTTGTTCACTAACACGTGTATTAGTGCTCCACCACCCACATGGTGTGCTGTCTGTGCATGTGTGTGTATGTGAGTTTGCATGTGCATTTGCCATGTGTACATGTGTGCACATGCACATGGAGGCCCTGAGGCTGGTGCGAGGAGTCTTCCTTGATTGCTTCCCACCTTATTCATTGAAGCAGGACCTCTTAGCTGAATCCGGAGTTCACAGATGCCCAGCTAGCTAACTTGCTGCAGGCTGGGATTACAGGTGGGCCATGTGTCTACCTACACTTAGGTAGGATCTGAACCGTAGTCCTCCTCCTCATGCGGTGGGAGCTTTAACCACCGAGCAATCTCTCCAAAGCAAGAGATGCCCCTAAGTGGGCACAAACTTTAAATTTCTACATAAGACACATTCATTTAAAGAAAATAAAACATCAGAACTACATGCAAACAGCCCATCATATGCAACTGGTGGTAGTTTGTTCATTTTATATCTACAAACCAGGCATGTGTAGGCTTAGATCTAGTGCTTTTATCTGTGTCATCTTTTTACTTCAGCAATACCGTGAATATTAAAATGTCTGAAGGTTTGTTTATTCGCTTTTTGATACTTCAAAAAAATCTGACTTTATACTTTAAAATCTGCTAGTGTGTCAAATGTCAATAGAAATAGTGTGTATATGTTCCATCTATACATCTGTTATGCATTCTATTAAGCTGACTGGTAATTTGCCACAAATATGGACGGAAGAATGGCATGGCAGAATTAATGTGTGGTTAGATTGATAGTCAGAAAACTTGGTTTTTAGAACGGATCTCTTAGGAATAATTGGCCCTTTGATCAACGTGCTGTTTCCTTGTCCCCCAGATTGGCAGGCAAATAGAAGTAATGGCTGCTACGATCCCAGTAAAGTGTAGCATCTTGTTTGTTGCTAGGAAAGTTCCGCTAAGGAGCGGCCTTGTGAGGAAAGACGAGTTCAATTTTAGACGTGTTGAGTGTGAGGGGACAGCATGACAGGATACAAATGTTCCCTCCTAATTCAATTACGGTGTCCTTTTCAGGAGAGAGCCCTTCCCAGTGGTTTGGCTTTAACCGTCAGATTCTTGGCCTAATATTTCTTTGGCTTATTTCTCAGTAGCCCTCTCTAACCACAGTGGAGAGAAGAGTACTTAACAACTGCTCCTCAAGCTAACGAAAGAGGAATTCTTCATTTGATCCCTCCATCTCGGGATCAGTGAGGAAAGCGCTGTCTGTCTAGGAACCTTCTTGTGAGACAAGCAGGAGATGTGAAGGGTACACACAGGGCGTCCCCATGCTACAAGCAAAACTCTCCCTCTTGTAAAGCCATAAGATTCAAGCCAGTGTTTCCCAGGATATCTGAGATGTCACCACCTTCTTCCCTCCACCCACCCACTCTTTGAGCTTCATGGGCACGGACAGCATTTAACTGGGAGATAAACCGGGTTTGGCTACGATGGCCCTGTCACAGCCAGCCTTCCTTCCTCTTGGAATTTCCATGGAAGGAGTGACCCGAGCAAATGTACCATCTCCATTGTCTGTTCTAACTCTTCCTGCTTACTGTAACTTAAGATCTGTGGGCAACCCACTTGCTGTTTATAGGCCCTCTTCTGGGACACAGTTACCAGAGATTGCTTGGGAATGGTCACTAACTGTTACTAATAAAATAAGGCATTAAAGTTGTCTACCAAGTTAAAATGACAACAAAAGAACCGTCATGGTTTCCTGCTATTTTCAATCCTAACTGGTCCAGTCTCTGGAGGACATATCGGTGGGACAAGTATACCAGGTAACCCATGTGCCACACATGCAGAAGAATCGCTGGTGTTACAATGCCCACCACCATGTAAATACTGACACGGGAATGCCCAGAGCAAGCTAACCAGATTAGCTAGGTCAGTGAGCTGCAGGTTCAACCCTGCCTCAGTTTCCAAGGTGGACAGTGACTGCAGGAAACACTCGACATCAATCTGGTCTCCTTGTACATGCACCTAGATACACACATGCATACATACACACACACACACACACACACACACACACACACACACACACACACACACACGAAGCCAAAAAAGTATGTAGCAGTTGACTTTATAATGAACTTGTGTGGGTGACAAACTCTTCAACTGTGAGACTCCTACACCGGCCCTCAGGGAGTCAAGTAATTTATGGCTTCTTAAAGCAGCCTGTCTTTTATACTTCCACCACTGATTTATTTCTTCTTTTCTTTCCTTTGGGGGCAGGAGAAGTTGGAGGTTTTGAGATAGCATCTCAGTCCTGGAACTCACTCTGTAGACCAGACTGGCCTCAAACTCACAAAGAATCCGCCTGCTCTTGCTTCCCAAGTGCTGGGAATTTAAGATGTGTGCTACAACACCCAGCTAGGATTTATTTTTCTTATTGAAAACAACGTCAGTGGTTTGCTCTTCTATTTTCTGAAAGTAATGAATTCTTGTTATGTTTCAGAACTAGGCAATGGCCTAATGTATAAAGACAAAAGTGAAAATAAACTTCTTAGTATCATGTCAATTAAGCTCTGACAAGATGCAAATTTGGTGTGTTCTATGCATATATTACTGGGTATGGAGAGATACACACTTTTTTATAAAGTGGGGTCATGCTATATGTATGATTTCACAAACGGTTCCTCTAATTAAAATTAGTCATGGCTACATTTTAACACATCAACAAACTATGTCAATGAAAACAGTATTTTATATCTACACATACCAGGTAGTAATTATGCAGATACACTATAACCCAATATTTTCCTGGTGGTTATTAAATATGTTTCTCCAACTTTATGTCTTTACAGGCAGTGGTACAGAGGTTAAAAGTTCTGTGTTTACGAAGCTGAGGACACTTTGTTTGGAGGCTTTTGATGCACTGATAAACTGACCTCCAGAAGGTAACAGCTCCGGGATGCGTGGGCACGCCCACTTCACCATCACACAGAATTGCCCGAAAAGACAGACAAGGACGCAGTACCCTCTCTACATCCGTAATAGCAGCAGCTCTATTCTACATTCAAGACAGAATGCTAGCATCTCTGGTTTTCCACACATCTGCCTTAACCCTGTTTGAAATGCTGCTGACTAACAAAATTCCTATCTAACCAGATGGTCAGAGAGGCATAGCAACCCGTTTCTATTTCCACGAAATTTCAGCAGATTCCAGTCTTAACCAATCCCCTTGTGTTCACAGCACATAAGCAACCACTTTCCCCAGACAATTTGGGAGCCTGGTGGGATCCTGCTGTCCTCTGTACCAACTGAGAAGGACTCAACTTTCATACAGTTTTAATCAAAGCATTTCATTGCGATTTTTTAAAAAACGGCAATCCCCAAGTCTACCAAGCAACACTCTGTTAAATAAAACATCTGGGGTCCATGAGCTCCTGAGCCATGGTGGCTGTGAGAGGTTTACAATGGAGTGTTTGGCTTTGTTTCTTGACAACCGATTTTGCTCATCTCTCCTCACAAGCACCTGGAGACTTGATGGGCCTTTGAGTGAAAGGTCAGTGTTGCTAAGAGCAAAATGACTCAGCAGATGTTCGGGACAAAGAGAGGGAATCTGTCACGTACTCACATGTAATACTTACAAACGAGTGCAAACAATCCCCTAAGTTCCTAATGATTACATGCTATCTGACATGTGTGTCCATAGCATGAAAAAGGGAAGGGCTGGTGTGTCTTCCACTCTCAGAACCATCGCTTAAAGGCCCTGCTGTCACTTGATAAGAAAACTCAGATCTACACGCCAGGAAAACTCTTTCATAACGCCTGGCTGTTCCAACAACTTTAAGTCTCTAACGCCAGAACTCCACTGCCTCCGAATATGACCTTGTTAAATTCTGGGCCTTTCAGATGGAAAAGTTCAAACGAATAAAATCCTTGCAAACATGATGAACAGAGAAACCACTGTGGATTCAGTTTCTTTGCTTCAGTCTGTCAAGAGCTAAGTCTGCACCAGAGGAGAGAAAGACATATTCTCTGTCGCCTTGCTTCTGTGTTCCCCTCCTTCCACGGTCACCATTTAATTTCTCATGACTTACACAACATGGAGGAAATTTTTATCACAGTATCTACAGGATAGTCTGGATATAGTGGTATACATTGCACTCCCAGGTACTTGGGAGGCTGAAGTAGGATTAGTCTGTCAAGGCCAGCAAGGGCAACTACTTCAGATATGGTCTCAACATGAAAATTGAAGAAAAATGGTTAGGGATAGAGCTCAGTGGTAGAGTGCTTAACCTAGCATATGCAAGGCTGTAGGTTTAACTCCCAGTACATCAACACCACTACCACCACCAGGACCACCATCAGCATCAGCACCAGCACTACCAACACCATCACCATCGCCAGCATCACCACCACCAAGGAAACAAAGGAAGGGAGGGAGGAAGGAAGGGAAAGGAGGAAGAAAATACATCTGTAGTATGTTTTTTTATGCACCTTAACCCTTTGATTTTTAGAATGTTACCCTCACTTCCCTTTGGTTTTTTTCCGTTCTGCTAGTTTTCTAATTTGAAACTACAGGACAGTATCATTAAAGTTCCAATGAAATGTTGTCAATAAATAGCATTTTATCATAAAAAAATCCTAATCTGTTAGCAGGAAAATATAACTAAAATTTCTCCTGGAGACTACACAGGTTCAAAACAGACAAGATCTCAGCACTGGGAAGGGAAAATAGACACCACCTTCACCCCTAACCAAGAAGCTATTTGTAATGAACACCCACTGGAAAAGGGGAAATCAGTTTTCTTCATGGAATGTCACTGGGTACATCAACCACACTCCAGGGCACGTCCCATGCTCAGGAGTAATTGATCCAAATAAAATGAGCTCTAAGCTTTTTTGTGCATTTTGGGGTTTGAGTTTCTTGTTGTTGTTGCCCTTTTAAATTTATCTGTTTTAGTTTTCATTTTTGTATTTGTTTTTTAGAGTGAGAAAGAATGTGGGGCAGGTAGGAAGGTGGGGGAAGATTTGGGAGGAGATGATAGAAGGAAAAGAGTATGTTCAAAATATACCAACTTAAAAAAAAAAGAAAAGAAAAATTAGTAAGCACTTCTACTGGAGGCAGGAAGCCAATTTCCTAACATGTTTAAGAGCTTTAAAATCCACAGGTTCAATGAGAAAAGCCTCAGAAAAGGAGAGGCTCCAGAAATTATAATGAGATCAACCATAAATACTTCACTCAGATCAAAATCTGGACACTGATTTCCTTAACTGTTCCTCCTGTGTTTCTGTATCTTAAAAAAGAATGCCCCTAAAATGCCAACAGGCTGAATAACTCCCTCACCTGTAGCCGTAAACCTTAATGGAAATCTGTCATTTGACTTGAGAGGCCATAGAGGGCTGGTGAATCCCAAGATCAGCTCTGACATTTCTGCATCCCACTGAACCTCCACTTCCGTGTGAGTCATCTGAGAGAAAGTGACACCGCTTAAAAGGGATCTCAGGTTTGTCACTGAGATGCCACTGTCCTATTCCCAACTTCCTACAGCTATGCACTGCCCATGCAGGTTACATCTAGTAGAAGACCTGGGCCTCACAGCCTCCAAGAAGGGCATCTCTTAGGCAACTGTTATTATCATTATTATTATTATTATTATTATTATTGCTTTTGTCAATGTCATCTTAATGAGGTTCTTATGACAGGATCTGACTTAAAGAGTTAAAACTTTCTGTGGGTTGAAAATGTACTTGTCAACTACTTGGAGGCAGCATGACTCACGTACATCCATTATTGTTTTTTGTACCAAAACCCCAGGGGTTTTCTTTCATAATATGAAATGCAAGCAGATTCTCCATGCCTATTTCATCAGCACCGCAGATTGCTTTTTTTTCTCCCAGAAAGTCTGAGGCCACACTGTGATCAAGAGGGAAATTCTTGGGCCATTGAAGAATGTGTTCAGTAGACTTACTACTGCACCTTTGGAAGTTCATTTAAATATTCCAGGATCTTAAATATAGTTTTGTTTACATGTGGTGTCAGCAAAATATTTTGGTTTCAATGAATTTAAAATCCAATTCTGAAGTTTTCCCTTGGAATCCTTAAGAGGAAGAGAATTAAAAATTATAATGGAGAAAAATAAAACCCTAGAAAATAAAAATATTTTCAGTCAGAATATGGGAAAGTAAACAGGTCTGTGTGTAATAATAAAGGAGAGAGTGAAAAAAGCCTCTTTGAAAAGAATGTTGTGGTGGGGTTAGAAAAGTAACATGTGCTATATTCATTGACCTACCATATCAATGTTGAGCCATATTTGCTGGCGTCAACTCACACAAGGAGATATGTTACTTTGAAGACAATTATCCAGGAAGAAAAATATATCTCAAGTCATCTATCTCCTCCTTCTCATCCCATGTGCCCTGAACATATTTGAGTCACTAGAGCTTGTATATCAACCATGTTTATTTTGGTTTCCATAATATCTGCAAACTTTCATATTCACATTCTTATGTATGTCCTCATCAGTTGTCACCACCAGTCCATCATTTACTTTATACAAAGATGGCATCCCACGGCTAAACAAATAATATCTGCAACCATAGACCGCAATGAGTCTGTGTGCTACAGACAGACAGACAGACAGTGGGAAGAAAAAACAAGGTCCGCTTGCATCCATGTGCACCACAGAAGGCTGGTTCCCAGGGTCATCACATCAGCTTCCCGTGTGACCCGATCAACAGACTGGGTCTGCTTAGAAGAAATCTAGGGCACCAGATTTGAGAACTTTCTAAAATTGTCCTACCCTAGGACAAACAGATTCTCCAAGTAAAAAGTCCATGTATGAATCAATGCATATAGTCACTAGAAATTTTAAAATGAAATATTCTGATACATTGAAATTAGTTTTTTAGATTAAAAAACTTTTATCATAAATTGTGCTGTACCTGCAAATGAATATAGTGTAACTTCACTTTCAAGAGTAATAATGGAACTGGCAAACTGACATGTACACACCTATCAACTCATTATCACCAGCAGCTAATTAATTAGGGGCTTATGTATTTCTTTTCAATACCATTCCTATCTCTTTTGTCTCCCAATCACCCAACCTCAATTGTACTACATTCTTGCTTTTGTTTTGTAGTTTTACCACCATGGTGTGCATTCCTAAATAATACATTTTAAAAGCATTGCCTGCTTAGAAAAACGTCATGTAATAATAAATGTAATCCACGATTGGTGACTTTCACACAGCAACATGCCTTAGGGGTTATAGGAATCCACATAGTTTATAAAGATCAATGGGACTCGAGCCTGCTTCCCAAACCTTTCTTGAGATGGTGCTTTGGATGGGATAAATGACTATGATCTTATTCAACTGGTGTCACTTTCTTTAATTAAAAAAATCCTGAAATGGCTTATGATATTCAGTAGAAAATAAAATGGATAAAACCTATATTTATATCCTTATGGAGTTGTTATTTTTCTCATGTTTCTTTTGAAAAGAAAGAATGTGTATCACTAAATTCAGATTTGGGAGGGCCACTCCATAACAGTTTCCTGAGATAAACTGAAATCTATTCATGTTCTCCCAGACAGGGTTCAATTTGTTCCATCCCATCTATCCTACCATATCCAAATAATAAACTTGTTCAGGCACAAAGATTTACCTTTTAATTTGTAGTTTCCAATGGGACAGTATGAGGACTGGACAGATGGCTCCATAATTAAGAGCATCTACTGCTCTTGTAGAAAAACCTGAGTTCAGTTCCTAACATCCATTTCTTGTATGTTGCAATACACCGAAATACCAGAAGTATTCACCACCTCTGGCCTCTGCAGATATTGCACAAATGTACGCACACACACACACACACACACACACACACACACACACACACACTTAAAGTCTGTAAAAAAAAACAAAATGAAAAAAGGTAGGTGTGGTAGTCTGAATGTATTTGGCTCCTATAAGCTCATGGGGAGTGGTACTATTAGGAGGTGTGGCCTTGTTGAAGTAGGTGTGGCCTTGTTGGAGGAAGTGTGGCACTGTGGGATCAGGTTTAGAGGTCTCCTATGCTCAAGCTGCACCTAGTTCAGACCACTTCCTGTTGCCTGCAGGTCACGATGTAGGATTCTCAGCTCCTTCTCCAGCACCATGTTTGCCTGAGTGCCACTAAGTCACACCACGATAACGGACTAAACCTTTAAAAATGTAAGCCACCTCAATTAAATGTTTTCCCTTCATAAAAGTTACAGTGGTCATGGCGTCTCTTCATAGCAATAGAATCCTTAACTAATACAGTAGGTATATAAGAGAGGGTTGATGGTAGAAAAGATCTATATGACTGTTCCTTTGGTCTCTGAGCTAAACTTTGGCTGAAATGAAAGGGAAACGGTTAAGTAGATGAGAATCTAATTAAAAGGAAATTAGCCAAACTCACCCTTCCACTTTAACATTCAACCAAAATAAATGTAGCTAATAATACCAACTACTGCCTGTGTTTCCATAGCATGAGCTTGTCTTAAGTCCAAGCCTAGGATTCTTTAATAATCATCATGAATAATGACTTCAAATATCATATGAAAACATGACTCCTAATGTTCTTTGACTTTCAAAAATGGCAATCAAAAGTAACACTGGGGAGAGGGCTAGAATCAGACTAGGGATGTTCTCTGGCTGTCATACCTATCAAAGGATATCTTGTTTTAATGTACATAGTGCATGGACAATAAGGGTAAATGTAAACAATTTTAAAGTCAAACATGAGAAAATAAGACCCAGGTGCCTATGACTGCCAATACCATATTTGTCTTCTCTCTCTCTCTCTCTCTCTCTCTCTCTCTCTCTCTCTCTCTCTCTCTCTCTCTCTCACACACACACACAAACACACAAACACACAGTTCTATGAGCTGACGTGGCTGCAACCACATCTGACCACAGGCGTATCAATAAGCAAATTCTTTTCAAACACACATTTCCATCTTCCTGTGTAAAAGCCACGAAGTCGTCTTAGATGAGTCTTAGAGTGACCTAAAAACTTCAGGCATTCTCCCAAACTTGAAGAATTCATGTGATGCAATATACAGGTCCATAATTCCATATGGTTTTGCTTCTAATTATGGTACCATTATCACGTGGGTAGACAAAGGAATTGGAAAAAAAAGAAAAAGAAGAAGACAAGTTGTCCTTAGATGGAGGGTCTAAGCCTGTGAGTCATCAAAGGGAACCCCGGCACAGGAAAGTGGTGCTGTAGACAGGGTTGCTGCAGACAGGGAGGAAGTTGTGTGCAGCCGGCGGAGGCCGCCATGTCCTTACAGACCCTGTGTCAGCATCCTTTGCAGACAGACAGGCGGTGCTTAATGGGGGGGAATTTATGGATAATGGATTTTCATAACAGACCTTTTGTGATCTTTCCCTCCCTGAAAAGTGCCCTCCAGAGCTTTTCTGCTTCCACTCTCAGTTTTAACTGGGAAAAGATTTACTGTTCATTTCCTCCTTCCCAAGCCGTCATTTCCATTTGGGTGGCACAGCCCTCCCATCTTGATTCCCTTGGTGTCCCTCGGTTCCTCTCAGGAACCAGGCAGTTCTCAGACACTGGTACATGAGACTGGGGCCCCTGTTTCTAGTGTCGCCAGTAAAAGGAATGATTGTCATTCTAACAAGAAAGCATATTGGGGTGGCTCCTACTCCTTGACTCCAGAGCTACCACACAAACCCATCTAGAATCCCCGGGCTCACGTCTACCCTCCAAATGCTAGCATTTCAGAGGTTTGTTTATGAGTGAAGGTAACCCTTGAGGGAGACAGGAAATAGAAAATGAAGGGCCACATCCGGGACACTTGGCTCAATGGAAAGGACATGCATCTTTGCAGGGGACTTGGCAGCCACCTCTGGGTCAGCCTAG